ATTTTAGGTTTAGGTTCTAGGTATGTGGTTTCAATCCCTTGGTCGGGAAGACCCCCTGGAGAAGGAAATGGCAACCCACTCAAGTATTCTTGCCTGGGAAATCCCATGGTCAGAGGAGCCTGGTGGGCTACAGTCCATGGGGTCACAAAGAGTCAGTGACTAAACAACAAAAACAAAAACCCTTAAAAGCTTGAAAATGCGGTCTTAACATATAAATGACTAACACACCACAGTACTCAGTAGTCCACATGATTTATGGACCAATCCAAAGATAACACTTTCAGTTCACATGCTGCAAAGAATATAATCCCAGAGGCCACGTCCTGTGATGTGAGGGTATAGGGAGGAACTGGAGGGTTAAAATTCAAGAGAGACTTGTTAACCCAGATCCTCCTGCTGGCATGGCCAGAAATCAAGGTTCTTCACTGACAAAGACTCAATACTGAACCTCTCAGACACCGACTTTCCCTATTAAATAAACACATGTTCCCCTACTTTCATCGGACATTTGGCCTTTAGCAGATGACTGAACACTGGGATCACGGGCTCAGGCCTCACACACATGCTGAAGACTACGGATAAAAAGGTCTCTGCAGGGCAGCGTGTAAGTGACTGTGCAGGCCAAAGACAACAACCACTGGCATTTAGGTGTTTGCACAAGCAAGGCACATCTGCCAGGAGCACTTATACGACCAACATCTTTTCATTTCAGTTTCTTCTGTTTTGGCCAAAGAATATATTCCTAATATTTTTTTAAATGTTATATATTCCCAACCCTGGAAGCACAATCTACTTATGTTGAAAATAAATAAGTATATTAAAAGAAAGCTGAGTTAAAAGTTTTATTCATTCAACATCTCACATTACAAATATTTAAAAATTATACGCATACTGGTATAAATAGTCATTTGCAAACTATTTAATAACATTAATTTTCCACTAGCACTTCAACAAATGAACTCTTTTAAAAAAGGAACTGTGTTATATAACTTAAGAGTAGAACATACAAAAATAGGAACTTAACGTGAAAATGACTTTAATAAAAAATGAATTACCCTTATTTAAAATGCTATAATAAATACTACAACCTCCCCATACACAGTAAAAACTATATGGAAATTCAGCCAAGTAGTACAATTAACTGACATACTTAAATAACTTTTCCTTCTGATAATATGAGCAATACACTGGAAAAAAAAACATTAGGGATTAGTAAAAACTAGACACCCACTTGCTAAAAGTTTCACTTCCAAAAAATATAACAAAAATCTGATGAAAATTATAAAAACTAATTATACTTTAAATTTTAAAAATATAAAAAATAAAACAGTTGAATACAATATTGTCCCAATTCTTACAATGCTATCAATCACAGTAGCTTTAAAATAAGATAATAAAATAAAGCAAATGACCAAAACCTCTTTTATTCCATTTTTAAAAATAATCTCAAATTTACATTAGTAGAAAGATTGATTTCTGATTCTTTTCTTTAGAAACACCAGCAAGAAAGAGGATTACTCTTAACAGTAGAAAATGACATTTTTAAATGTCTGCAATTAAAAACAAAGAATTACACTGCAAAGATCTTTCAAAAGTTTGAAATAAGTATTGCACATAACTTGAAGTTAACTTGCCACAATTCATCACATTCAAGTTTTAAATCACCTTTTAACAGAAGATTCAACTCTTCAAAACAAAAAGGGTGAATTATCAAGTCTTTCCAACAGCACTCTCATAAAATGCTAAATTCATTCACTGCAAGTTTTATTTTGCATTCTGCAGAGGTCTGTGTATGGAGAAGTATATATATTATACCAAAGCGTGGGGACCAGAAGGGGAAGGGAGAGGGTTCCTTTACATAGAAAATAATCAGAAACACTTTATTTTACATTGCAAAAATAACCATGTAATTACTCTGTAACTACATTGTAAGTACATGGCTGGTGCCATGCTAGTGCGCTAGAACTACATGCTTGGTAAATTGAAGTGATACCCTAAAATCTGTAAACTAATTACATGTTAATTATGTTTTGAGTTACATGGTAACTCCCAACTACAATCCCATGTAATCTGAAGGACATTTAATCAATAAAGTTCAGAGTAATAGATAATAATTGTTTATGCCCTGTAAATTGAAGTGTAACCAAATAATCTGTAAACACGCTTGTCACACAATCACAAGTAAATATTAGTAGAATAACAATTTCTTACATTAGTCATGCATACTAACATTACACACCTGTCCCACGGCAGGCTATTTTTTTCTTTATATATAATTTAAAAGAGCAGACATCTCTGAATCAAACACTTAACATCAATTTATTAATATTAAAAATGGCTAAACATTCACCAAAAATGTCTGCATTATGAATAATTTTAAAAACTTAGTAAGAAGCTGTAGACAATTTTGTTAAATTTCTACCCTATGCTTATGCATTTAATTATTTTTTTAGGAACTACAGTGTTATTTGTCATTTTCATGCGAATTTTTTTTTCATTAATTTGTTACTTTACATAGACTATCTCTTAAATTATAGGTACACCAATAGCTGGTGCTGGGGAAGGATGTTTAAGCAACATGCTTTCTCTTCTCTGCAGACTCTAAAATAGCATTGCCAGTGCACAACATTCATAATTTAAAATGTATGCAGAGCACTGAAATGTATAAAAAGCAGAATATAAGAAAATAAAATTTATTAAAATTATTTATATTAAAAAATGAAGTATATGAAGATCTCTCAGTAATAAAAGTACAAAAAGCTACTCTTTGCAATATGAAAAATTGAGGTATTGCATAAAGAGATATCCCGTCAGTGAAAAGTGTGCCTAAAAATGTTCACTGTTGGAAAAACAAGATATACAAAAGTAGTGCATAACAAATATACATTATGTGCATGACAAAATAAGTTAGCTACAAAAACACTGTACCGAAATTCAGCAGGTCATGTACAAAGGGAAAAATTATTATTCAAAGCTAGTTCTCAAACAGTGTTATTTCTTGTTAGCTCATCACACCTGTTTACTGAGTAGGAACAGCACGGACAGCACACCCCAAGCCACCTACAAGCATTGAAAAGAATAAAAAGTGGCAAATGAACATTCCAATTAGAATTATGTCATTCAGGAGAAAAGAAGAAAAAGTCCCTGACCAGCTACACAAGAGCACCCTCCGTTCACATGACCGCTTTCAATATTTGCAGGGGATTCTTTAATAAGCAGCTCCCTTTCTTGTGTCTGACTGTTAAGACAGCAAATGCCTCCATTTTGACCTTTGGAACTTAACAGGTATACAGTTCATTAAAGCCTGGATTAAAAATAAAGGATTGCTTTTCCTAAACATGATCAGTAGGGGTCATCAGTCAGGTGGTTCCACCGCAGTGCTAGGGCAAGTCTTTGGTTTTGAAGGATCCAAGATGGTACTGTTAAGTAGCACAACTAGCAAGATTGCCATTCGATTTTTGTTTTTAATGTTTTGCACACTGATGATAATAATCCTTTTCATGGTGGATAGGGCATTTCATAAGAGAATGTCCACTAAAATAAAAGTTACTTCCAATGACCGGGGCTTCAAGAGACTATTTTTCAATTTACCCCTGAAGCATACTGTTCAACATATAATAACGCCTTTCAAAAGCTAGAGTTTTATTTATAATAAAGCATGCATTACTTGATGAAGTTGGCACTTCAAACACTGACTATGTCCCATGCTAAATTCTGAAACTGTAATGTTATTTTATTTTATAGGAAGAGTAAGATAAACATACGTACCTTTGCACAGATTTACACAGTTACTTAGTTCAACAGTGCAAAACACTTTGCAACTACTTTTTGTTTTCATTTTCTATGTTACAACTAAATTACAGGATATCCAAAGTAACTTTAAATCTAAAAGTAAGCCAATCAGCAGCCAATTTGAATATTGGTTTTGTCTTCCAGTTTTGGCTACACATGGTAGTCTAACACAAAATCAAAAATTATATCCTTGAGGTATCTCTTGATCTGTTTGCTTGCTTTTTTTTTATGTCAAAATGGAGAGCAAAGGCTGACACCTGATGAGTGTTAGGAAATTAGGATATAGAGTTTATATATAACATCAAAAATAAAATTTATACATTTGTTCTTTAGGAGAGGAAATGCTAGTTTTCCCACCAGTTGTCGTTAACTCTAGCTTTGGTAGGTTTCCTGGGGCTGTGACCGGATAAGTAAAAATAAAATAAATAAGTGCACTCCCCTCAGAAATAAATGTACCCAACTTTTACATTCTAAATTTAAAAACCTGTTTAAAAGAAAATAAATCTAGCTCTGCCTACTTTTTTTTTTTTCTGATGTGGTAGTAACTTTGAGGCATAATGAAATAATATTCTGCCTCTAAACCCTTAAAATTAGTTATAATGCTGCTTCAATCTTGCTCATGCATTTGTGTTTGCTTTAACATGCTCTTTCCTGTTAAAAATTGTTAACTTCCTCCACTGCTATTGAAAGAACAGAAAGGGAATGGGAAAAAAAGAGAGGCAAAAAAGATGAAAGAAAAGAAAGAGAAAGGCAAAAGCACTTCCCTGGGGGAAACCCCGCATCAAGAGAGACTGATAGTGTTATTGTTACGTGGTTATTTTAATAAAAGTATTCTCATCTGTTATATTAACAATAATTTAATTAAAAACCCAAAATATTCTACTGTTTCATTTTTCTTTTAATATTTCTCTCTCTCCTCTAAGAAAATGCTGCAGGAAGTTTGGATCCTCTTAGTCTCCAGCAAAACAAGAGAATGAAACTTCCATGCAACATGATGGCAATACAAAAAAGGAGTTCATACATCTTGTTTTCAGTGACACGGGAATCTACAAAACACCTATATTATAGGTCATTCTCTCTGTTAGACTACTGTTAAGTTACAGACTGCACAAAAGGACATGCCAGCGTGAAGAGGTTGAGGAAGGGGGCAGAATTAACAGAAGAGTGCACTTATTCTGAGGCCTGAAAATGAGCACTGTAGTTATCCTTTAGTTCCAGCGGAATGAAATATGTCGAGGACGGTCACCGCCTTCCTTCACCAGGGGCTTGTGGAATTCCCTGCCAGCACGAGAATGAATAGCAGCCCAGCAATATTCACAGTAATACTGCAGACAGGTAACATTAGCACAGAAAAATGGAGCGAATTTCCCCCCACAACGGGCCCCCTGACATTCATCACACAGCTGATCATCCAAGACATATGGCTTAACTTCCACCTGAAATCAAAAATAAAAGAAAGGTGTTTAACACTTCTCAGTGAATGGACCTAACAACTCAGACTGTGTGTGTACATTTCCATCCACTGTCTGAATGAATCTGTACCAAGGTGTCCAAAAGGAAGGGTCAATAACTCCTTTACTGAAATTAAATTATCATCTTTAAAGAAACTAGTAAGGTTTTTATGCCCATTATTTTATTTTTGTCTTATTAATTAAAGAGTTTTCAAATGAAAGAGAAGGTTCCAGCATAAATTTAAAAGTGAAGCCAACTTAATGTTTAAGAACATTACAAGGTTAAACCCACGGGAGAGTTTTCACAGACACAAACCATCACTTTAATTAGTGGATCTGGATTCTTGTCATACATGGAATTATAATTTGCACAGGACCAACTAAGAGATTCCCAGAGCCACAAAATAGCACTTCAATGTACAAATCAGGGGGAAGCTTCCTGACTTCTACACCATAAGCCTCTGAGCTGTAAGAAGGCTTGGGTCATGGTTTCTATTTACAGTGTACACATCCTGGGTATTATAACAAACCTCAAACTCCAGGAAAACAAGACACAGCCATAGTACTCATAATCTAAAATCTTGCTTTGTTCTTTGTCAGGAAGAATGGTTTACTTCAGTCTAAAAGTCAGAGGTAAATTTATAAAACTGGGTCTGTTCCAGTGTTCAATAGGCCAATCTGTCATTTGAGCCTCTCGAGCATTAAAAATAACCTGGCTCTTAATTCTCCAGTGAGAAAAAGAGTTGGTTATTTTTAGTCTTGGAGAGACTCACGATTGAAACTCCCTTACACCAGGCTATTACTACCACTGCTGCCATCCACTTCTGACAAGGAATTCTTATGAAGGTAGACCATGAACAAAAAGAGGAGTGACACAGAAGGCCAGAAGAGCAGATCTAACAAGAAGATTAGGCTTCTGGCCCCGAGGCCATTCCATAGCATCTACAGTGTGGCAAGAACACTGGACAAAGAACTGGAGATCCTAGCAGAATACAAGATAAGTCTGAATTTCTAATGGCTAACCTTACAACTCCTAAACCGATGATGGAATGAAACAATGAGGTGGGGGAGACTGTTACTCAAATGTACATATTTTTTTAGTGTAAATAAAAATCAAGGAGATATGTTAACACGTACAGCAACTAATCCTGCCCCCTTCCTCCATGTTTATTAACAGATCTATACCTTTCTCTTTAACATATTCACAGTATGATGACCACTAGGATGAGAAATTTTCAGCTACCACTTTTGTGGAATATACATGAAATGAAGCATAAGCAGTAAATGTAAACCACTGCTGCTGCTAAGTCGCTTCAGTTGTATCTGACTCTTTGTGACCCTATGGACAGCAGCCCTCCGGGCTCCTCTGTACCTGGGATTCTCCAGGCAAGAACACTGGAGTGGGTTGCCATTCCCTTCTCCAAAGCACGGATGCATGCTCAGTCGCTTCAGTCGTGTCTGACTCTGTGCAACCCTATGGACAGCAGCCCTCCAGGCTCCTCTGTCCACAGGATTCTCCAGACAAGAATACTGGAGTGGGTTGCCATTTCCTTCTCCCATGTAAACCACTAGTGACTGATAGTTTTTACATACTAAATTGAGAAGGTCACAATACGGTCAATCAGTAAAGACTTTTTTGAGCACAGGGCTTTGGAGTGCTGGATATCTCAGTCAGCCCTAACCAAAGTACCAGTCTGGCATGAAATAAGGAGCTGACACCAGAATGAAAATCAATGCACTGCTTTCTTCATCAAGAAGGTCTTTCTGTGAAAAAATTCAACTGAACTAAACACTGTGCTTCCTAGTGCAATGGATTCACATTCTAGGGTAAATTTCTACCTTAACACAAACAATAGCAAACCATTTACTGACTAGCAGTTGATTCACAGGCCACACTCCATCCACTAGAACATAAACCCATGAGTACCTAGGCGCTAAAGTATTTGTTGAATGCATGAAACACAAAGCTAAGAAATTTGTGAATGCAAACAAGACACATAAGGGAACACAGAGTCTCAAATACAATACATTAAAAAAACAGAAGAGTTATCTCAGAGGTTTTCTCCAGCCTTTTGATACAGAGGATAAACACAACAAACAGGAATTTAAAGTATGAAAATAATTCTAATGAACTACCACCAAATTTCAGGTGGTAAAGAGATTACAAATAGAAGGATTCTGAATTCTTCTACTTAATTTGTTATAATGAAATATTATTTCTTAGACACAGTCCTTGAAGTGAATTATTCAATCATTTGTTACATAGTGCATAGGAAAATAGGGCTTGCTGAGGTATTCTTGATATCCCAGGTTAATAAAAAAAGGTGAGGAGATCTCAAAGGCATTCAAGTCTATACACTTAATATAATGAAGTACGAAGGATCTGGTGAATATTTACTGAATGACTAACTGAGCCAATGAATGGATGCAGGTGACAGCTCAGGAAAGATTCAGTGGACTCAGCAAAGTGCCTGGAGTGCTTTGTCAGGCTCCTCAGGACACTGAGAGGCAGGGGAGGCCACAGGAGGCTCTCAGATGTGCTCTAGAGCTTGCATCTAGTGGATCCAACGGGCATACATCAGCTGTCACCTTGCTGTCATGTAAGTCTCACCCACTGCGCACTTGGGCACGGCACGGAGGGCCCTTCTGAGAACTCCGCAGAAGGCAGTCCGGGACTTACCCGTTTATCTATTTCTCCATGCTGCAGCTGCACGAAGCGGGCACTGATAGCAGCTATGTAACTCTGTTGATTCGAGAACGCGACTCGCCCAGCTCCTTTGGGGTATTTCAGCTCAGGGTCGGTATCGATCCCAGCATAGCACACGCCTCCGTATAGCCGGTCCATTATCATGGCGAGCTCCACTACATATGGAAGGAGCAGAGAGGACATTTGAGGCCAGGAAACATCATCTGGCTCACCAAAGGTTTCATCAAAAGAAGCTCATCTGTCCATAATTATAATAATTATTACAATGAAACTAGTTATTATAATCAGTTGTCCGCTGTGTTCATTTTCGTCTACTGTGACTAAGGACAGGGACTCTGCTGAGTGGTTCACATATAATCTAAACAACCGGAAACTGAGGCACAGAGAGGACGATCAACCTGCGCAAGGCCACGGGTAGTAAAGTGGTTGTGCTGGACTTGCTACCCTAGTCTATCTGCTCCATACCACGATGCCACCGTAAATTTACCAGTTAACAATGTAATGCTTAATAATCATTTAACACTAGAAAGCTAACTGGTAAGACTCTCTGGGAGTCCTTTGAGAAGATTTCCATTAAAACCCTTTTACCTTTCCCTATAGTCTAGCCATTTGCCAAATTTCACACAGAAATTTGAAATAATAAATGAATCTTATTCTCCATGAAATGTTACAATTTTGAAATGGCATTCTTGTTCATTTTATGTTCTTATTCTCACCTATAATATTAAAACTCATATTATTTGAAGTTAAGGATGAAATTTCTTCTGTGAGTACTGTTCTAAAAACAGGATGCACTGCTGAGAACCTTGTTGTAAATTTCAGAGCTCAGTAAGTAGCTGTTGCGCACATGGGGTCATGGGAACAAACAGTGAACATCTTGATACCTAACCTGTCCCAGAAAGGCTTTCTCTCTTGGATGATGATGAGAGTAATGAGCATGAGCATGACGGGACCCTGCACTAAGCACCAGGCATCTGTTACCTCATTTAATCCTCAGAACAACTCTACATAAAGGACATACTTATAATTCCATTTGACAGATGAGCAAACTGAGAATTAGAGAAATCAATTTGTCCAAAGTTACTCAGCTATTATTAACTGGAACAGAGCACATGAATTCAACCTAAGACACTTGGAGTCCAGGACTCTCACTATTAAGACATTACGGAAAATTTATCCTAAAAATGTCTGTATAAGATATTTCTTATGCTAAAGTATAAACAGAGTTTTTGTTGCTCTGTTGAATCATACCAGCTCGCAATGGTCGGGGAACACCACCAACAAATATAGTTTTTCGTGGGTCAAGAGGCTGTGAACCATCCATCACGAAGTCACTGTCACTGAGATTCCAAGGTCGAATCTGTACCTAAGGAGTGTGCAAACCAAAATGTCTCAGTCTCAACACAGGCAATTTATGTGGAAATGAAGTTTACAATTAATACAGAATATTTTACTTTACAAAGTTGTAATTTACATAATTAAAAATCAATAAAACTGGAAAAACCAAAAAAGATTTAAAAGCATATCCCAACCCTTCATTTCATTTTTAAAAGTAATCTAACCAAGGCTAGAAAGTTAAATTTAATTGCCTATTATAAACCAAACTGCTTAACAGTAACATAACTTTAATTATCTGTAAGTTAATTAACTATTTTACAGCTTATTTGGGCCTTGATCCTACCCAACCCCTCAGCAGCCATATAATTTAAATTTAGCATGGTATTTTATGTTGATTAGTATACAGTGCTAAGAAACTAGGATTGTGTGTCCAAATCTATGTCCAGGAAATGCAAACTACTCCTAATATTAACAAATCTATTGCATTGTAAAGCATTTCAAAATAAAAATATTGATATCTGCAGTAAATGTTTTATGATAAAACACTTCAGTGTGTCCATTACAACTAATCAATACTCTGGTTTCTCTTCAGGTCATATAAATCTTTTGCCTTTTTCAACACCAAGAATCAAGTACCTTTATTTAACTGTTTGCATTATATAACCATTACAAATGCCCATACCAAAGGCTAAGGGGTTAACAGCAGGGTATTCCCAACAGGTACACAAACCAAGTCCCAAGGCCCGAAGTTTTCAAAATTAAATACCTATGGGGACCAGTAGGGGACAAAAAAGTCAAATAGAAAGAGTCTAGCCACACAGAAAACTGGCAACAAACCCAAGACACTAAGAGGAGCTCCACAAATTACTGCTTGAGCTAAGCCTACTGGAGCCTCCATCCTGAACTGGACCCCACCACTACGTATAAGTCAAGGGATAAAAGATTGTGGTTTGCCAGATTTGTCAAAATAGGCCAGGTGCTATTGCTACTATTCCTAAAGACTGTGTGAGCGTGTGCTCAAGTCATGTCTGAATCCGTAACCCCATGGACAGTAGCCTGCCAGGCTCCTCTGTCCATGGCATTTTCTAGGCAAGAATACTGGAGAGGGTTGCCATTTCCTCCTCCAGGGGAATCTTCCCAAAAGACTAAATTTTATAATAAAAACTCTTTTAGAAAGAAACAATATGTAATGGACATTTATGTATATACATAATTTATTTTATTAATATTTGGCAAGAGTACCATATGTAGCAAGTTATTTGTATAACGTAACTTGCTGCATATGGTATTGGGTAAAATCTTGACCAAAGAGAGGAAGGAGAAAGACAGGTATATTTGTGATTCTGAGTTCTATTATTCAGAGGAAATTCAGCTACTTTATATTTATCAAATACATACTAGGTGACATCTTTTAATAGAAAGATTCACCAATACTTTAGTTAACCAAAAATTCAATGTCAAAATAATGTGCACAAATATACAGAATCTCAAGGTTAGGAAAATGACAACAACAAAACTTTTTCATTTTGATTCTACCTACAAATGTTTCAATTAAGAGATAAATTAAGATGTCTGGGTATTTTTCAGGAAAAATGAACAGAGGCAAAAATGAGAAGCTATTTTCATACTAGACTGCACTTACTGGCTTGTCCTTGATAGTGGGACTTGATACACACAGGTAGAGTTTTCCATCTTCTTCAATACATGCATCAATGAGAGCCTGAACAGAGCTTTCATCTTGAAACAGAAGGAATGCATAGCCTAATAAAAACAATTTTGAAAGACTTTTATTTTTCCCATTTTTTTCATAATTCTTCAAGTGAAAGGAAGCATAAAAGTAAGGAAAAGGTTAGAAAAAATGAAACAAATAAACAAAAACCCCGAAAACTTAATCTCACCCAAAGTCTGACAATATCAACATTAAGTTCAATTTGTTATTATCATGAAACCTCTTTTAGAGTAAAATCAAATTTGAATTAAAAGTATATATTAAGTAGAAATTTTAAAGACACATTTGGGAAAATGTCAGTTTAGCAACAAAAAGTTGTACACTGAAGGAGAACATTTATGAAGAAAATATAAGAATAAACTACACATGTATTTGAATCTTGAGAAATTACCTTTAGGAGGAAAATAGGATTTGCTCTCTGCTTTATGAGGCCAATCCACAATCAAAGGGCCAAAGCGACGAAAACTAGCTGTGATCTCATCTAACGAACAACAAACCAAAAATGCAGATGTAAATATTTTTATGAGCATTTTGGGAAATCGTTTAGAAAAAAGTTTCAAATCTACTATTTACAAGAACAGTACACCAAGACCTCCTGCATCTCCTTCATCTGGATTCCCCCACTGTTAACATTTGTACATTTGTCTTCCCCCTCTTCCTTCTTCTCCTTCTACTGATGCACGAATCTATTGATTGATCTACCATCTTTTTCTGATATGGTGTTCTAGTACCACAAAATACAACTACTGGTAACTGCTCAAAGCAAGGTCACTCCCTTATGTACCAACATACAACTCTCCTTCAATAAGGAAATCAACAGTGATACAACATTCTCCCAATTCACAGACTCCATCCAAATTTTTAACTGTCACAGTAGTATTTCTTTTTTCCTTTCTGATCCAGAATCCTATCTAGTATCATGCTACATTTTAGATGTCATGTTCTGAGGGTATCTATTTTTTTCAGTTTACAATAGTTCCTCATTCCTTCCTGTCTTTTCTATAATTGACAGCTTCAAAATATACAGGTCATTCCTTCTGTAGGATGGCTCTCAACTATGTTTCCTCATGAACTATGTATTCCAACCAGGAAAACTACCATAATGATGCTATGTCATCCTGTCCTTTCACAAGGTATGTTAATCTTGATCTGCTAGTCAAGTTGCTAAGTGTCTGTATCTCTCACCAAAAAGAAACCATTCCCTTTGGATACGATCAATATTTTGTGGGGGAATACTGTGTTAACCATCAATATCCTGTTCCCTCATTAGACCTGGCATTTACTGAAAATTCCTGCCTATATCAACTACCACAATGGTAACTGCCAAATGCTGGCTATCTATTTCTATCAATCCTTCTACATGTACTAGTTAGTATAATTCAATAAGGAAGAGTGTTCCCCTCTCCTCCATTTATTTAGTCATGCATTTATTTATATCAGTATGGACCTATTTTATTCAATGGGCTATAACCTGATTCTGGAGAAGGAAGTGGCAACCTACTCCAGTACTCTTGCCTGGAAAATCCCATGGACAGAGGAGCCTGGTAGGCTACAGTCCATGGGGTCGCAAAGAGTCAGACACGACTGAGCGACTTCACTTTCACTTTTCACTTTCATGCATTGGAGAAGGAAATGGCAACCCACTCCAGTATTCTTGCCTGGAGAATCCCAGGGACAGAGGAGCCTGGTGGGCTGCTGTCTATGGGGTCGCACAGAGTCGGACACGACTGAAGCGACGTAGCAGCAGCAGCAGCAGCATAACTTGATTCTCTATCATTTATTCAGTTTGTCCTCAAAATTGTCCCTGATTTGGCCAGTGGGTGTTCCTATATCCTTTGACTTACCTGCCCCCCCACCCACTGCCAAATCATTCCTCAAGTGCTTCCATACTATCTGACCCAAGAAGATACCCCAGGCTTTCATCTTGTTCTTTTTCTGCCCTAGCCCCAGAATCAGCCTTTTTCCCCTCCAAGATATCCTGGATCCTTTCAGTGACAGAAGATACTTAGAAACTCAGATTTGGGTATTCCCTATAGTCATTGTTGATGGGTATTTATTATTTCTAAGTCTTCTCAGAGGACAAAGCTAGGAAATACATGAACATACACAGACATATTTATAATTGTTTCTGTATCTGTGTACATTTATAAAACTGAGTTCATATTGGTACTTGTAAGTCCACTTCAACATCTCATGTCATTTTCTAGCCTTTCCCCTTCTCCTGTTTGTAAATTCCCTTCTCACTATGAGAAACCAAGCTCTCACTGGCCTCATTTTTTTGCTCAATGTAACCCATCTTTCAGCGAGCTGCCCTGGCAGTCTCCTCTGCCCTCCACCTCTGCACATAGCCCAGGCTGGCCTGATCTACTGGTCCCACACACACTGCTGCTGTGGCCTCGGCACAGGCCCCTCCATGTGCATGTCTAGGACACACCTCCGCTTGGCACCCTCTTCCTGCTCACCAACCATCCTCCTTGGACATCAACATCTCTGAGTCTTACAAGGAAGGAAAAAGGAAGGGGACATGGGATGGACAAGGAAAACTTAATCATATTTTACTATTAATGTAAATGACACCAGTCATGCTGTACTATATATTTGGACAACTAATGAACAGACTTCAGGAAAATAAATTTCCAAGGAACTTCTAAGAAAGAGTAGGTGAGCATGTGCAGAGAAGATCTGGGAGTAGGGCGGGACAGGGGAACAGAGAAGAGAGATGAGAAACATTTTGAAATTCCAGTCTGCTAGGACTGTCCTCACCTCCTCCAGTTTGTGAAGCAGTAGTCTGTATAAACTGCTACAATGCCTGTTTCTACATTCAGCCCCTGTGAGATCACTAAATAAGGGAGTGATGTCAGTGTAACCTAGAGATAATGGTTCACAAATGACTCTTCCTAAGCAAGGTGAGCCAGCCTAGTAGGAGAACCATAATCTTCAGCAGGAAAGAAAAAAGCCTCCAGCAGGCAGGAACTCCCTCAGATCTATTACAGAAAATTAAGGTGAGCACAGCAAGCAAGGCTCTCTAGTCAGAGGTGTTCCTGCAAGCTTTCAGGGCTGCCTCCTACGAGTTTGCACTCCTCAGGGCCCCAAAGGTCCACTTTCATCTGTGCTGCCTCCAAGCTAGCAAGCCAGAATTTCTGCTCTATTGGTTTTGTGCTTTTCAATATTCCTTGAGGCAGCCTCGAGTAGGTTGTACAGTGAGCTACTTGCTTAACTGTCCAAGTTATTTTTCAAAGTATTAGCTCTCTTTTAGTTAGTGCTTCTGGTACAAAATTCATTAGGTTCTAAGTGATCTTCCTCTAGCCCCACCTGCCCCATAAACTCTGTGATTCTTAGCATATAATTCTACAGAACACAGTATTTTTCAGAAATACACATTTCAATTTTAATAGAAAGGCCTGTCCACCTAAACTGCTACTGACTTATCAACATATGTGGTATGAGGCTAAAACAGGAGGACTAACACAATCCCCATTAATTCTGCTCAGTTTAAACCACTTCCTGTGCCAAAGTGGTCAAATTTACCTGGGCTGCCAAGAATTTTAGGAATGATACATTTATGATCTCTTGGTAATTTTCCAAAAAGATACAGGCTATCTAGACCAGAGAAGAAGTTTATCCTAAGCAAGGTCAGATAAAATTCAGTCTTCTTTTCTTGCATAAAGCATATAGTTTCCTCACTGAAGACCATCCAGGGCTCAAGAGTGTTAAGGATTTGACCTCTAAAGGGTCATAAAACCTAGAATTCATAATACTAAGGAAACTGAGGATTCCAGCTAGAGAATGAGGAGGCTGCATCTGGGAGCTTAGTGGACAACATCGTGATGAAGTGTTTAGGCCCAGATGAACACTCTGAACAGAAGATATGCTTTCTGAGGAGAGAATGGAGACTGAGTCTGCCTGGCCTGAATCTCAGCACAGCTTCCTCCAGGACATTTTATCAAAGAGGAAAAAAAGGAAAAAAATCTGTTTATTTCAATCTTTGGCTGTTTGGAAGCCATTTTGCCTCAACCTTCCAAAAGACTGATCATTTTAAGGAAAATGTGGTGGCACAGTAAATTAAATCTCAATCTAAATGGGACATTATTAAACCTCATTATTAGACCTTACAGGTTTTTAGAGAAAACCTTTCTATCCTCCATAACGTTTCTATTTCCATTCAGGAAACCAAGACAAAATAGATAAGGGAAAAAAGCAAGCAAGGATATATGGTTGCTATATGGTCTGCTACTTTGATTTCTGTCAGGGTCACTTAGACCCACAGTTAAATGAAATACTTCTGGATAACTAGTTCTCTGTTTTTTTTGCACGATTGGCTTCTTATTCAGCCATCAGCTCAAGTATCACATCTGCAAAGAGGATTTACTTAACCAACAAATCTCATAAGTCTCTTCTGAAATTGTGCATATCATATCATCCTGCTTTCTTTTCAGGACTTTTTCTCTAATATTTTCACACTTATCTCCCTTCGCCCACTAGAATACCAACTCTGTGTGAGCAGGGGCTTTCTTTCACAATCTTATTTACTAAATAATCCTAAGAACAGTGCACAGCATTCAGAAAACATAAATATTTGATGAATGAAAAAATATTCAGAAAATGATATAACCCTTAAGATTCCCTACAACTCTAGTTACATTTTTCAAAAATTCAGACTTAATCTAAGATTTTAAACTTATAAACAATTAACTGTACACTATATAGCCCATGGAATTCTCCAGGCCAAAATACTGGAGTAGGTAGCCTTTAGCTTCTCCCGGGGCACTTTCCAACCCAGGGATCGAACCCAGGTCTCCTGCATTGCAGGTGGATTCTTTACCAGCTGAGCCACAATGGAAGCCCAAGAATACTGGAGTGGGTAGCCTATCTTTTCTCCAGCGGATCTTCCCAACCCAAAAATCGAACCAGGATCTCCTGCATTGCAGGTGGATTCTTTACCAATTGAGCTATGAGGGAAGCAGCAGTCATAAAAGGTAGGAAATAGGAAAATGCATAACTGAATTTAGCCAAGGCAGGACACACAGATAACAGTGCAGTTAGCAGCTATTTGCCCACAATAGAAACCTAGAGTTTTTTTGATTTAGTCCAACCACTTGCTTCAGTTGGTTTCCAAAGTCCTACTCCCTTTCCTTTTGAGAACTAATTTTATACGCTGTACTAAGCAGACACGACAAGGGAACAATGCAATCACAACTGAACACCTGGAGCCAGATAATATTATTATTATACTAACAGCAACCATTACCTATGTGTTATCTACTATGTGCCACAGTTTGGGCACTGCGCTGTGAATGGCTCTCTCTAAACATACCTTCATCGATGTCAGGAGGCAATCCACCCACAAACACCTTGCGAGAGTATCGCTCCACCCTTTCTCCATTCTGGTGAGTGAAGCAGTGGGGCGAACCCAGACCGCTGTGAAGAGGCTGATCCCCACGGCCATCATCCAGGAATCCATCTTCCATTGGAAACAGTGAGGACTGACCTGGAAGAGAAAGCAGGAAGGAAAAAAAAGCTAACAGAAAACGCTCCTTGCCATTAATTATCTTACACAAGAAACAAGGAAATCAGCAGATCCAGTAATGCCGCTGCTTTTATCTTTCTCACTGAATAATAAATCACTTAGATATGCTCTTGAATTTCCATCACCTTAAGGTCCCAGCTGAGCCAGAGAGAAAGTACATGGTTAAACAGAGGGCTGCTCAACCATCCCACTGGGATCCAGAAACTTGAGAGAGGTGAACTGGAAATACAGTAGGAGAGAGCAGTCTTTTGAAAGTAGTTGGCAGAGACTGCACTGCCTTGGCAGGGCCCCATGGCCACTGGCAATCTAGATATATATACTAAGTATTAAATTTGACCATCAGATGCTAGATCACTTAAATTTCTTTAAAACATCATACAATATAGCCTGCCCAATTTCCTTTAAGACCGCCCCTAAAATGAAGAAGTTGATTTTTAAAGTAAGCACTCATCTTGGTTTACCTTAACTAATGGAAGGTCATGAAAACCCATTTATGCTGTTTCCTAACTTCATTAGCTACTCTGACAGAATTTAAGATTTTTAGGTATGCTGAAGATAAATTTTCTTTTAGTTGAGTAATCATCAGCTGGTACAGGTGGTATCTAATTCTAAAAACTAGTCATTAAATTTGCTGTTAGAAAATCCTATCATATAGAATATAAAAGCAGAAAAGATCAGAGATGCCAGTTGTAGTTAATATTCTTGCCATACTTACCTGCCAGCAAAATACAAACTTATAAATCATAAGCAAAATAAAGAGCTACAAAGAACTGTAGAATCTCTCAAAAACTGTTTTGTCACTTTTCAGGCTGCCAATTTACTTCTAGGTTCTGCATAAGGAATTTGTTAATGGATCCTGCAGAAATATATCTTAAGTGCTCTTCCTTCACTGAAACATTCCAATGTCTTTCTGTCACACTTGCCTTCCTTAACAGTATATTTAGTACGAATTTACCCTATAAAATCAACAGTTCGAAAGTTACATAATAAAGATAAAAAATGACTCTAAAATTGGAGGTTATTTCTGGATTTTCAAAAGTCACTTTTATTTTAAAGCTACCTTATTTAACTGACTTTCTTATAAAAAGGCAAAACTAATACAGGAGGGAAAAGTAAAGTTTATTCACGTACCTCTAGGAAATGATTCTTCAAAAAATTATCTAAAATGTCTAGAGCTTTTTCCCCCAGTGTCTGAAATCTATAGGATTAGGTGTCTACTTAATCTAATTTTAAACAAAATGCAGAACTATGCTTAGTAATAAATAGATAAATAAATAAATAATTTTGAAAGTAGATACAAGGTATTCAAGCATAACTTATACCTCCAATATAATCAGGTATTTTGAGACTAGTCATACCATATTTTCCTTTTTAAATATTCTTAATTTTATTCTAAGATACTCCTTTCAGAAAGGAAAAAGAGAAACAAATCTTTAGATATAAATAAAATGAGTTTGAAATTATTTCAATTCAAATCCAAATCCTGCCATTCCAACTCCCTTAGTTAGAATGTCTGTGATGTTAACTATAACACATAAAGTATATATCGATCACAGCTATATTTCACTCCCCCTCCCCGCTTCCCAATAAGGGTTAGAAATTGAGCAAACTTGGGTCCTCTCCAAATACAACTGATACATTCAAAAGTTAGAAATAATAATGTTACCTCTCCTTCGCCCATATGTCCTTGCTGCATGTCAAATGAGAAAACAAAAAAACAAAAAAAAAACCTTTCAAACATTGTCAAAAGAATCAACTGTGATTTCATCTACCAGCTTAAGAAACTGAAAAAAAAAAAAAACAAAAAACAAAAAACTGGCTATATTCCTTGTTTCCTGGTAAATAGCTCAAAAAAATATCAAATTTTGATGCCGAGAGGTCAATGAATTTTTTTTTTAAGTTCTTCAAGGACACTGTAAAAATCTATCAAGTCTTACTTGTATTAAGGGGAAGCTTTCTGCTGTAACTGTCACCTGAGGTCCAAACTAGTATGAAACTAAGAGAGTATGTAACAGGGTCTAAATCAAATTCCACCATATTGATCTTAATTTCCCTCAGAATTCCCTGCTAACTAGCCATTTAATTCATGACTTTTTTTTACCATGACAGGATAAAGAGCAATTCTGTACTATTTCTCAATTATTCCCTAATGAAGAAACTCATAACAAATGATATCTTTAGGCAATTTATAAACTTTCTTTTAGCCAGATTCTTGTCCCTAACTAAATCTTCCACCATGACCCAGAAGTTGAAAAGTATTAAAAAGTTTGGCATTTTATCATGAAGTAGATTCCAACAAGAGAAGAAAAAGAATACAAGATAATACAGACATATAATTATAAGTATATATCTGAATACTTGGGAAATGGCAGGATAAATTTCAAATCAGGAAACTTTTGATAAAATGTTTTCCTCAAATGAACTGGAACTTGGTTGTGTAGTTACTCTAATTCTATTCAACATACACTTCCTGAATGCCTGACCTTGCTAATCACTATAACACACTGCTGTAACTGCAGGGAATTTATAGGCTATTCAGCCACATAAGCAAATAATGATAATGTGACTGTTACAGCAATAAGCCTGTTAAGTGTCAGGTGCAATGGGAAAAGAGGAGGAGGAGAAACTGGTTTTGATTAAACAGTCAGAGAGGAGAGGGTATGGCTCTGAGATAGTTCTTAAAGGTAAAATAGAGAAAGGGTACTGCTGACCTGGCAATGGCACAAATAGGGGTGCTATAATACTCAGGGAAAGATGCCCAGAACAGAAGAATGTGGAAGAAGTGAGGTCTCGGCTAGAGAGTAAATTTAAACAGAAAGCCGGGATAGGTTTTCCAGTAGGAAACTGTAACCTTTTAGATCACTATATAAACTGGTCAAGGTTTTCACTCTTAGCTCTCTAGATAAATGCTAAGTACAACTCAGTTATAACTGAGTTATAAATATAACTTAGAAGTGCCATGTACCTATTTTCCAAAATGAAATCGTGTCTCATACCAAAGTAATTTCTAACATTATTAGACAATATTGAATTTCACCAAAGTACTTGGGCAAATGGATTAAAACCAATAAAACCTCCCTCTGCAGTTAGGTTTTTCACTTTAGTAATTCTTAAAATTGGGGTGAGGGTGGAGGTATTTTCTTCCTTAGTGAACCTGACACAGGTTAGGAAGAGAAAGATATCACAGAAGTAGATATTTGTTTAAGAATATTCTATTCTTATGACTGCTTCAAAGACAATGGAGTTTGGGGAAACAAATGATTTGAAAATCTTGGTTCTGTTAATCTTAAAAAGTTGATTGATGCTGCTTGGATTTCCAAGAAAACAGTTATTTGAAAAAGAGTAGGCATTTAGAAGCTACAAAATTAACATTAAAAACTTTCATGTGCATGATGTGTGCTAAGTTGCTTCAGTTGAATCCAACATTTTGCCACCCCATGGACTGTAGCCCGCCAGACTCCTCTGTCCATGGGATTTTCCAGGCAGGAATACTAGAGTGGGTTGCCATTTCCTTCTCCAGGGGATCTTCCCGACCCAGGGATCAAACCCACGTCTCTTATGTCTCCTGCATTGACAGGTGGGTCCCTTACCACTAGCCCCACCTGGGAAATCCAAATAGTTTTCACTATTTTAAAACTAAGTTTCACTATTTCAAAAGTAAGATTCAAGAACAGTAAAGCCTATGCATCAAAAGCAAAAACTGAAGACACTCAAAGTCTTCAAATGTGTACTTTCAAACTTTCATTCTAAACCACAAAATTAAGCTGGTTAATACAAAAGAATTCACTTAAATTCAGAGATTAAATGCCAAAAACAACATTTTCCCACATTTAGGTTATAGGCGTATAATGCTTAAAGCAACAAAAACTGCCCAATTAAATAGGCAAATCAATATAAACTAATACCAAAAAATAAAAACAATGACATTCTGGAGCACAGAAAATAAGAATGCTTAAATTTTTTTTCCACTTATTATAATGATATACATTATTTTAATGTAGATTTGGATGTATGATATATGTGTGTACTTTCATATATATATATATATATATATATATATATATATATATATATGTATAGGATATCATAAGCATACACTTCAATGAACTTTCCATAACACGAACACATCTATGTAACCAGAACTCAGGTATGAAATGAACAGTAAGTGATGTCACTTCATCTATGTATGAAAGAGGTACTAAAGCATTGTTCTCTCACTAGTTTCAAATTACACTTGGTGCAAACTATATTATGATGAAATGCTTATAACACAGATCTTCATCAGTTTCCTGAGGAAAATGTCAGACAGATTTCCAATCTCAAGATTATCAAGCATTGCACGTTATTTCATATTTTACAAACACCAGAGGTAGTGGCAGTTTAAAAAATCACTTAAATAATGTTTAAAGAAATATGTACTTTGGAAAACTTCTAGCTAAGTCAGCAGAAATAAACTCTGCTTAGAATTTTCCTATAATTACGATACACTGTTAAGACTTCCCCGGTAGCTGAGCTAGTAAAAAATTCACCAGCAATGCAGGAGACCCTGGTTCGATCCCTGCGTTCAGAAGATCCCCTGGAGAAGGGAAAGGCTACCCACTCCAGTATTCTGGTCTGGAGAATCCCATGGACAGAGGAGCCTGGCGGGCTACAGTCCGCGGGGTCCCAAAGAGCTGCACACGGCTGAGTGACTAGGCACAGCACAGCATGTACACTGTTAGTTTTTAAAGGATGTGTGTTAGTATTGAATACAAATCCTCTGGCTCCCATCAGAGCTAACATGAAGACTATTTATAAGCTTATCACTTATATTACTTGGTTTTGATCTATATAATTTGGTGTTCAGTACTAAAATGATTCAAGAATGTTCTAAATGGGCTGGAAACATAATGGCTATAAATTTTTATAACTTTTGGGTGAATGTTGCTATTAGATGTATTGATAAATACATTATTTCCAAAATATCTTTACAAGATTGCTTACAAATGCCCTATATTCATCAGTAAATTTCCTCTAGTAAAATATTTCAGTAGTCTGGCATTCTAGATTTGCAAAAATGTACAGAAAGACTCTTACCAAGTCTTTTTCAACACATATTTTATATATATATATATATAATAAAAATGAAAATATTTCTCTCTTAAAAAGTATCTTTTTCTTATTTGGTTGTAACGTGTTAGGAAAGGACCAAATTAAACATAATAGTGGTATACTCACAAAATATATCACAAAAAATACAGTCATTTAAAAAATATGGTACATATTCATGTGCTGATATCAAACATCTCTAAAATGTAGCTTGCATGAGGTACCTAAGTGTATATTGTATGATTCTTATTGTATGAACTTAACAATAAAGGAAATATAAATAGATACATGGGAATAAATATTTTTTCTAGAAACAACCACAAGAACCTTTGGGGACAGGAACTGGAATGATGAAAGAAAGACTGATTCCGCTTCTTGTTTTATCCTTTTCTGTTGTATTCAAATTTACACTTTTATGTGCACTATATTACCATATTTGTTAATGGATCCTTTTGAGTTTTCTTCTTGGTACTTATATTAAAAACAAGACTTAAACAGACATTTCTCCAAATAACAAACATATGAAGATGGCTAACAAACATATGAAGAGATGGTCAACATCACTACTTCAATGCAAATCAAAACTATAATCAGGTCTCCTTCACCCCAGACAGGATGGCCATAATAAAAAAATCTACAAACAAGTGCTGGAGAGGGTGTGAAGAAAACGGAACCCTCCTACACTGCTGGTGGAAATGTAAATTGATACAGACACTATGGAAAACAGTATGGAAATTCCTTAAAAAACTAGGAATAAAAGCACCATATGACCCAGCAATACCACTTCTAGGTATATGCCCTGAAGAAACCAAAACTGAAAAAGACACATGTACCCCAATGTTCACTGCAACACTATTTACAATAGCCAAGACATAGAAGCAACCTAGATGTCCATCAACAGATGAATGGATAAAGAAATTGTGGTACATATATACAATATAATACTGCTCAGTCATAAAAACGAATACATTTGAGTCAGTTCTAATGAAGTGGATGAACCTAGAGTCTATCATACAGAGTGAAGTAGTCAGAAAGAGAAAAACAAATATTGTATATTAACACACATACATGGAATCTACAAGGATGGTACTAACAAGTCTGTTCGCAGAGCAGCAATGGACACACAGACATAGTGAACAGACTGATGGACAAGGGTGGGGGAGAAGAGGAAGAGGGTGAAATAAACAGAGTGGCATGGATGCATATACACTAACATATGTAAACATACAGCCAATGAGAATTTGCTGCATGACTCAGGGACTCAAACGGGAGCTCTGTAATTACCTAGAGGGATGGGAATGGGTGGAAGCTGGGAGGGAGATTCAAGAGGGAGGGCACATATATACACCTATGGTTAATTCATGTTGATACATTACAACCAATATTGTAAACCAATCATCAATCAAGTAAAAATAAATAATTTTAAAAAACAAATGATATATGAAAAGCATCCTTTCCTACATGAGGGCATCTGATTCTGTAAATAGGACTTTAATGAAAAGGAAAGAATTTGAGCCAGTTGAACTGAGGTGAATGAACCTAGAGCCTGTTACACAGAGCGAAGTAAGTCAGAAAGAGAAAAACAAATACCGTATATTAATG